AGCAGGCTTCCTGTTGAGCAGGAAGCCTGATACAGGGGTCAATCCCAGGACCCCGGGACCACGACTAGAGCTGAAGGCAGACATCCAACAACTGAACCACCCAGGCACCCCTTGGTTAAAGTGTTTTAAAGACTTATTTATTTGACAGACAGAGATCACAAGTAGGCGGGGGGTGGGGGGAAGCAGGCACCCCGCTAAGCAGAGAGCAGGCTTCCTGTTGAGCAGGAAGCCTGATACAGGGGTCAATCCCAGGACCCCGGGACCACGACTAGAGCTGAAGGCAGACATCCAACAACTGAACCACCCAGGCACCCCTTGGTTAAAGTGTTTTAAAGACTTATTTATTTGACAGACAGAGATCACAAGTAGGCGGGGGGTGGGGGGAAGCAGGCACCCCGCTAAGCAGAGAACCCTATGTGGGGCTCGATCCCAGGACCCTGAGAACATGACCCGAGCCGAAGGTAGAGGCTTAACTCACTGAGCCACCCGGCACCCGGTTAAAGTGTTTTAAAGGACTTTATCCTGCAGAGTTTTAGTGGAACAGGGTAGGAGTGGAGTCCCCCCAGGCAAAGATTGGTTGTTTCCTCCATAGAGTGAGTGGTTAAATCAGATTAAACTCTGGCACAAAATGACTGTTAAACAACTTTTAGAGGGTAGAGGAAACAATAGTAAAGAGGAAAATTAAATCAAATATTAAAGCTTCTAATTCTCTACCCATGGCACTTGCACTCTTGCTTATTCCCAAATTAGAAATAGGAGGCATCTTCTGAGATGCTAGCTTACCTAAGACAAAAGACTTGAGATTCTAATATTTGGGAATCTCTGAATGAAATAGCCAGATCCCTGCTTGATCAGCTTACAGTGAAACCCATTAGTTGAAACGCTCTGACCACCCATCCTCAAGATTTTCAGTCAGCATTTTAGTGTCTCACAAATCATGGGTCACTGGGTATTTGTGGGGAACCTCCAATATAAGAGAGGTCAAAACAGAAACAAAAGGAACTGGATAGAATAAACCAAGTGCTGGGAAAGGAAACAGTTTAAAAATTAATATTCTCAGAGATAAGGGATGGTTCATCATTGACATAAGAAAGACTAAAAAAAGGCAACTTGGAAACCAAAAATGTTATAGTAGAAATTTTAAAAATTCAACAGGGATAGAGAATAAATTGAGAAAACTGAGAAGGTGAGATGAAAAGTTGACAAGATGGTAGGGTATTAGTCTATAAGGTTCAGTACGGACTAATAATATTTCAGAAAGAAAACAAGCCAAAAGGCAGAAAGTTACCAAGGTACTACAAAGGAAAATTTCCCCAGAGTTGCTGGGTGTGAGTATCTGAATAAAGAAATAACCCAACACCTGGTAAATGAGGAAAGAACTAAAGTGCTTCATAAAATTCTAGAGCTCTGCAGATAACAAGATCCTAAGAGGTTCTAGAGAGAGAAAACAAGACTATGTTTAAAAGAATGTTATCAACAATGGATGGAGCACTGGAGCAATGTCTTGAAAATTCTGGGGAAAATAATTGCTAAACCAGGACATTGTAAACTCTGTTAAACTGTCAATCAAGTGTTAGGGTAGAATAGACATTGTCAAACACGTAAGAGCCCTTGCTTCACTAAATAAGAAAGTAATGAACATTGTTCCAAAAAATGAGTTCTGACCTAGGGATTTAAAAAATGAGTTCTGACTTAGGGAAAAGGTAAATGGGATTATCAGGATGATGATAGAGGATAGTTCTGAGTGACTGTTAAGCAACTTTTAGAGGGTTACCAGTTCAGACTAGAGTGGGACAAAGGAATACCATTTCCATAAGAGTGGGAAGCAGAGTTTGTGGATGAGTTGATGTGTTTGAGTATATTAAGAGGAGATTTATACTTTTGTTGAAGAGTTAGCTATAAATTAATCATAGGTAATAAAGAGAAAAAAGGAAAAGAGAAAACAAAGTAGTTAATTAACCCTAGGAAAAGCAAGCAGTTGTTTAAGAAAAATAATCATAATGTAGTATATGGTTCAGCTGTGAATAATGTTTATATAGTTATAGTAATGTAATATTGCTTATATCAAATGTTGATATATCAAAACATTTGGTGGAAGCAGCAGCTAAGGAGGTAGATAGAGCAGTGGTGTAAGAGAAAAGTCTTTTTCTTCTATAGTAAAAAAAAAAATTAGAAAATATCTGAAACCAGAAAAAGTCAAGGTAGAGTGGTATAAGCTTGTTATTTAGAAATAAAGAAGCAAATATTAGAAGAAACAGTTAAGGGATTTGATGAGTGCTTTCAGGGAACAGGAATTTCTGTAGTTTGCTGTTGTGCTGTTTGACTTCTTGAAAGTTTGTACATGTATTACTTTGATAAAAAATGAAATGTAAAGGCCTATCATTGCTGTCCAAAGGCAGTTAGATTAGTAGGGTGGATTTGTGAAATGGTCTTTGGGAGATCACAATTTAGGCATATCCACCAGTATTGAGTATTTTTGAGATTGTTAATGGAGCTGCTCAGTAATTACCTGAGAATTACCCAAAGATAGGTTGAATACCTTTTGAACCAAATTTTCATTTAGCGTTTGGCCAGAAAACAAGCAGTTTTTCGCACAGAGAGCATTCTATCTAATGGTGGCTTCCTGAGATAGGTTTTCAAGTGAGGGAGTGCTATGTAAACTTTACAATTTTAGAAGTGTTAAGTGAATGAAACTTGAGTGAAAACAACTCAGTACCCTTAGGTACTGGTTGTGCTGGTTGTACACTGTACAACTATAACAGCAGTTCTGTGCCTAGCTGAAAGTAATAGTCAAACTTCTAAGAATGTGACTGGATACCTATCACACATTTTATTCCTAGCTTGATGCACAGTTTAAAAAATCAGTATTGGGGTACCTCGGTGGCTCAGTTGGTTAAGTGTCCGACTTTGGCTTAGGTCATGATCTCGGGGGTTGGATTGAGCCCCGCATCAGCCTCCTCACTCAGTGGAGTCTACTTTCCCTCTCCCTCTGCTCATCTCTTTCTCCAATAAATAAATAAAATTTTACTTATAAATAAAATTAGTATCATTTAAATATACGTTGAAGAGTAAGAAAATAAGTTTCTGGAACTCAGCCAGTACCTCTTTCCCCATTGTTGAAATTACATTTGTTAGAACACTTCTGGGTGGGACATGTGTGAAGGATGGATAATAGCAGGAAACCAAACAGCTATTGTATGGTAGCTTAAAATGAAATTAGTATGCTCTTAAGCAGAATGTAACCAATTACCAACTGGACTGACTGAAGAAACCCCAAATACATATGGTCTTACAAGTAGCAGGAAACAGGCCTCCTCGTTAGAGTGATTTATTTTAACAAGGTCACTAGGTCCTTTATGAGGCAAGCAAGGCAGAAGATTGAAAGATCTGTTGTCATTTGCACTGTGCACTTTATAGAGTTCTGAGGAGAGAGCAACAGTACCAGCAGCGGTTTATTGCAGGCAACAAATGCACTGATAGGCAAAGAAGACTAATCACATAGGGTCCATGGTAAAGAAGAACTAAGAGCAATAATCTGTAAAGATGCTAACACAATTTTTGTGATTAGCAGAAACTGTCCTTTATCTTCCTTAACCTGGAAGTATATATCCGTAGAAATAAATTTCCTGATATAACAGGTAAGACCAAAACAAAACAAAACAAAACACCCACCATGAGCAGTGCAGCCAGAAACATTGCTCTAACGGAAAGCTATGTGCTCTTCCTACTTTTAAAGTTTGAGGAGAAAGGAGGGTACTTGACATTGGTACCAGTAGTTAAATGATAATTTATGGGGCTCATGGCCCCAGTTCCTCTGTTCAGTTCTGCTTGAGGTGAGTTAACAGTTGCTGGTTTTTAAGTTACAGCAGGAAAGGTTATATTCATTGCATTACTGATACTATATAATTTAACATTTTGTATATATTTTTTGTAACAAAGTAGTTTAAGTTTACATAGGCTGCCAGAAAATGTTGACTAGAATTTTAATATTCATGTTCTGAGCATAGTACTTGCACATGTTTCATACCAATTTTCTGTGTTGTGGCTTTTTAAATTTTCTTTGTATCTGCAGCTTAACAAGATAAAATCAGCATTTGAAAAAATTATAAAATGCAAGTACTATTATTTTAAATGCAACTTTTCTACATATTTTAACTTTATCAGTATGCCAGTATATGCCAGTGTCAGTACTGCTTTACAACCTTTTATTTTTTACTATTTATTTATTTAATTAGAGAGAATGGGGTTCGGGGAGGGGCAGAGGGAGAGAGAATTTGAAACAGGCTCCACATCCAGCACAGAGCCCAACATGGTGTTCAGTCTCACCACCCTTAGTTCATGACCTGAGCAGGAATCAAGAGTCGGATGTTTAACTGGCTGAGCCACCCAGGCACTCCTTTGGTTTGGTTGTTTGTTTGTTTGTTTGTTTTGGTTTTGCATTTGGTTTGGTTTGGTTTTTATTGTGTTTGTTTTTCAAGAGAGAGGGAGCAGGGCAGGACGAGTAGTAGGCTACAACCTTCTAAAATAAAAAGTAAGGGGCACCTGGGTGGTTCAGTAGGTAAGCATCCAACTCTTGGTTTCAGCTCAGGTCATGATCTCAGGGTTGTGAGATTGAGCCCTGTGTAGGGCTCTGCGTTGGACCTGGAGTCTACTTGAGATTCTCTCCCTCTTCCTCTGCCCCTACCCCTGCTGCGTGCATGTTGTCTCTAAAATAAATAAATAACATCTCAAAAAAAAAAAAAAATTAAGACAAGGTAACATTCTTTTTGTGTCTTTGTACAGGAAATTCTACACACAGTGAAATGGAAGGAAAGAAAAATGCAACAATAAAAACAAATAAGGTTTGTTCAAATAAAGAAGAACTTTTAGATAATAACATTCTGTGGTGGTTTAGTACCTAACTATAACTTGGCTATATCAAAACATTTAAATATAACTATTAGTTATTATGGAAGTTTTATTGTTTGCTGTTTCACTAACTTCTTTTTACTTTTCTAGCCTCGAAAATCAAATCAGTGTACCAGTCAGTGCTTCAGAAATTTTTTCTCCAATATGTTTTCTTCTAGTAGTTACACTGGAGAATCTTTTACCTGTAGAACTTACTGGTTAGTATTTTCTATTTTAATGTATGTGTTTGTACTTGATGTTTCATTATTATAATTAACTTTTGGTAAAAATTTAAGTTCTGGCTCAAATATGAAAGCCCATCTTGTTTCTTGGTTTTGTTTCTTCTGGAAAATAAACTAGTTCTGGCAAAGAGGAAACTTGCTGTTTTGTGACCCTCTGTAGCATGCAGTGACTGCCCATGATCTAGTGGGTTTTGTCTTCATTAATAATAAATTGTTCTACGCTGGCTTTTTATGTGATGGAGAAGTATGCTACTTGTTAAATTGTAATCAAGCAGAACCCTTTTAGAGTAGAACCAGTCATCTTTTAATCTGTAGTGACTGGCATGTAGATACTAAGTAAATATTTGTGGAATTTGAAGGTTAAGTTGGGGTTTTATTTTTATTTATTTTTTTAAAAGATTTTATTTATTTGCTTGACAGACAGAGATCACAAGTAGGCAGAGAGGCAGGCAGAGGGAGAGAGGAGGAAGCAGGCTCCCTGAGGAGCAGAGAGCCCGATGCAGGGCTCAATCCCAGGACCCCGGGATTATGACCTGAGCTGAAGGCAGAGGCATTAACCCACTGAGCCACCCAGGCACCCCTAAATTGGGGTTTTAAAATCACCTGCTTTAGTTGAATGAACAAGACAGGTCAAGATTGCATGATTTAATTTTAGAGCTTGGCAAAGGTTACCAAAGATAACAATTACATCTGAGTAGCCTTTTGAAAAGTTGAACTCTACCCATTTTTGGTTATAGGTACTGTATCTTCCTTTATTTTTTCCTTTGTCTTACACTTATTTTCAGATGGAAAACTACTGCAAATAAAATTTCTGCTGGGACTGCTGGCTGCAGCTTTGGTTTATGGGATAGAAAACAGTGTTGCTTTTTTCTCTCAGTAATAAGGATGTTATTCTGAATTGACTTGTTAAAAATTCTGTCACTTCAAGATACAAATTCAAGCATTATTTTTATGAATCAGATAAACAATTTTGATTTGTAATAAATTTTATAATTAGTAACGAGTTCATATTGAAAGTGTTTAGAAGTCTCTTTTAAATGTGGTTTATAATGCTAGGTACAAAAATTTTTGCTATCATGATTTAACACAAGTGTTATGCTGAACTTAATATTTGGAATTCTGATGAGGGTCTAAAATTTATCTTTTAGTACAGAATTTATAGAAATCAATGAAATGAGTGCATTGATTAGGCAGAAGAGACAGGAATTGGACTTGTCATGGTTTCCTCATACGTCACCTGGAAGTGGAAGGTAAAAAAAAATTGTTTTTTTACCAAAGTGTTTACATGCTAACGTAAAGCAGAAGGTGTCATTAATACTTAAGTAACAGAGGTATCTTAATCAATAGTTGTGTTTCTAAGAAAGTTTTATGCAAATTAAACTTGGTGTCTCAACTGCCTAAAGAGGATTGGTATTTAAAGAATCCCTTGAAAAATACCTTTTTTAATCTGTTTAATAGATGTAGATACTGGGGTCATTTAAAAGGAAGACTCTTGAATCCCAGAAACAGAGTTGTGGAAAGGGAAGTGGGTGGGGGATGGGGTAACTGGGTGATGGGTGTTAAGGAGGGTACATAATGTGATGAGCACTGGGTATTACACGCAAATAATGAGTCACTGAACATTATGTCAAAAGCTAATGATGTGGGGGTGCCTGGGTGGCTCAGTTGTTGGGCGTCTGCCTTCGGCTGGGGTTATGATCCCAGGGTCCTGGGATCCTGGGATCCAGCCACGCATCCGGCTCTCTGCTCAGAGGGCAGCCTGCTTCTCCCTCTCCCACTCCCCCTGCTTGTGTTCCTTTTCTCACTGTGTCTCTGGCTGTCAAATAAATAAAATCCTTATTTTTTATTTTTAAAAAAACTTTTTAAAAGATTTTACTTATTTATTTGATGGATAGAGATCACAAGTAGGCGGAGAGGCAGGCAGAGAGGCAGGCAGAGAGAGAGAGAAGAGGAGGAAGCAGGCTCCCTGCTGAGCACGGAGTACGATGTGGGGCTTGATCCCAGGACTCTGGGATCATGATCCGAGCCGAAGGCAGAGGCTTTAACCCCACTGAGCCACCCAGGTGCCCCAAATAAATCTTTAAAAAGAAATAATGATTTGTGTTATATGCTGGATAATTAAATTTAAATTTAAAAATTTAAAATTAAAAAAAAATAAATAAAAGGGAGAGCACCAAAATGATAAGATTCATTGTTAGTAATGGCATTTGGATCTGTCATCTTTCTGTTGTTTCACTCATTCAAATCTTACCTGTGTGCTGTTAGCTGACACACTACTTCTTTGGTCATGACATTTCCCCTCTCCAAAAGATTTTTCTAAAATTATTTGACTAAGTCTTTATACTCTGCCCTGGCATTCATGATTTTCTGTAATGTAGTCCTTTCTTTCTTAGTTTAAGTCTTATAGCTACTGTCATGTTGCTAGGTGTATTATAAATATATATACTTAAATTAACTTCCTACAAAAATATTGATTGAGGTCCTTGCCACTGTCATTCCTGTAACATTATAACTTTATCTTATGTAACACTGTAGTATAGTTCTGCATATATAACACTGTAATATAGAGGCCTTCCCTCTAGGAATGACAGTGGAATATAAATAGAAGTGAAATTAGGAAGTCCAGATATGTATTATAAGATCTTAAATATTTTTGTGTATGTGTAGTTGCACATTGTTTTTGAAGCTTTTCTGCTCCTACTCCAGATTTCATTGGGATAAAGTAGGTTTTCTTTTTATTAGGCGGTCTGAACTGAACAAATATGAATCAGAGAAAAGCTGAGAGTGAATTGGGTTTGGTTGTAGAAACTTAATAGGGATATTGGGGGCTTTGAAGAGCCATTATCCTTAGATTGAGGAATGTCACAATATAATAGAACAACAGAAATCAGTTCTTTTTTTTTTCCTTTTTAAAAAATGTATTTATTTTGATGTTTTTGCTTTTGATATGTGTTATAAAACGTAGTGAAAAATATAGCCCATGTATGTATGACATGCTTCAAATTCAAGTGATACAATTCTGTTTCCAAGTTATGTTAAATTATTTATTCATGGACTGATTACTCTTTAACATTGCTGATTTCTTAAGACCTTGATTTGATTAACTTGGCTAAATTTTCCTTTGGTTGCCCAGAAAGGGGCGTGCGTAGCGCAAAGGGCATGAAATCACCTTTTGGTTGGGGGTTGTGGTGGTTACACAGATATATACATCAGTCAGGTGTCATCAAACTGTGCACTTAAAATCTGTGCATTTTATTTATCTATACATTTTATTTTCCAAATTGAATTTTTTTAGAATGAAGAAAAAAAGCAGAAGCTAAAAAAAATTCTTGGCAAAATATTACATTAAATTATTTAAAAGAGAAACACATATTAAAAGATTTTATTTATTTATTTGACAGAAAGAGATCACAAGCAGGCAGAGAGGCAGGCAGAGAGAGAGGAGGAAGCAGGCTCCCCGCTGAGAAGAGAGCCTGATGCGGGGCTCGATCCCAGGACCCCGAGATCATGACCCGAGCCGAAGGCAGCGGCTTAACCCACTGAGCCACCCAGGCGCCCCGAGAAACACATATTATATATGAAGTTGCCCTTGATCTCCTTTTGCCATTAATTTATCAGAAAAATATGCTTTTAAGGGTTTTTTCTATATAGCCAGTTGGTAGCCATCTTTGAACATGAGTAACCTGGAGTTTACATTTTCAGTTATTTTGGCAAAAACTAAATTTAAGTATACAGTATTTTAAAGTTGCTAACCTGATTTGGGAAAGTAGTAATTTTAAATTGTGGTATAACTTTTTAAACCATTTAAACAAATGTCTTTTTTTTGTTTTGTTTTGAATTTTCAGAATTGGTTTTATACCCTGGAATACTGAAACACAAGTACTTCCTCTCATCTCTTCTGTGTTGCCAAGAACTATTTTTCCAACAAGTACCATATCTTTAGAAAATTTTGGTAAAGTTTGTGTAATATTTCTCTAGTCTTTAGAAAATTATTATTAGTTTCTTTCAGTATCCAGTGAGTGTTCATGACTTAGATAACTATAAAATAAGGTAAAGATAGTAAGTCCTAGATTTTCTGTAACTATTTGGGTAGCGACTTGACTTTTAAAATGTTCCAAGTAGAAAATCTTTTTTACTTAAGAAATTACATCATCAAATCTAGAAACTGGCTAGAAGTCTCCCTTCTGTTTAGGGCTTTAGCATTCAAAATGTAGATCTTTAGAGGTTACATCTCCTATTAATTACGAACAAATAGTGTCAGTCTTTATATTTGTGGATAACTTGTTTTCTCTTGTTTTTTGCCTAGGTATTACCTATTCAAAATGCAGTGGTATTTATCAAACCAAACATATTTTCTTCTGGTTTTCCTATAGATTGCCCACAAGAATTCAAATCTTGTGATAATTCATTTCAGTAGCATTAAAAGAACCTGATAAATACCTGCTGTTACTTAGATGTTAGTAGCTATGCATTTATTCATAACTTGATTCATAAGTATATTTTGTTTCACTTTGTTATAGACATTTATGCTAACACAACCTGAAGCCAAAGCCTTCTCATTTATTGAAGTATATACTTTTTACTTTTTAAAATGTATATATTATTAGGTACCTCCTGCAAGGGATATGCATTAGTACATACTCAAGAAGGAGAAGAGAAGAAGCAGACTTCTGGTACATCAAACACCAGAGGAACAAGACGAAAACCTGCAGCAACAACTCCTACAAGGAGGTCAACACGTAATACGAGACCTGAAACAGTCAGTCAGTCTCAGAGATCCCCAGTATCAAATAATTCTGGATGTGATGCCCCAGATAACAACAATCCATCTGTAAGTGTTTCCTCTTCAGGTTCGTCAGAAAAGCAAACAAGACAGGCTCCAAAACGGAAGTCTGTAAGAAGAGGAAGAAAACCACCTTTGTTGAAAAAGAAACTTCGGAGCTCTATATCTGCCCCTGAAAAATCATCTTCCAGTGATTCAGTAGATGAAGAAACAGCAGAATCTGACACACCACCTGTGTTAGAGAAAGAGCACCAATCAGATGCAGAAAGTAGTAACAGTTGTACTGTGCAGGCAAGTGTAGAAAATGAGTCTGTTAATGACTTGAGAAGTTGCAATGAGCAGGTAGAAGAAAGTGAGGAACATACTGAGAACCATGATACAGAGGAAGCAGTGGAATCTTCATATTTGGAGTCTCATATCCAAGATCCTCCTGTACTAGTTGGAGAGGAAGAGGACATTCAAAAAGTTGAGGATACAAGTATAGAGGCTAATATTTTATGGTTAGAAAGTGAGACCCCTAAAAATATTTCTGGGAAAGAAGATGATCAACTAGGAAATCAAGACCAAACATCTGGACTTTCAGAATCAGAGGTAAAGGTGGATAAATGTACAGATCATCGTTCAGATGATCTTCTTACTTGTTCAGGATCTGAAGTTGAAGTAGATGAATCTGTACCAAGCTTAGGTGAGTTACCAGAGAATGCAGAGTCGGTGGTTAATGAAGAAAAAGTTATGGAGAGTCCTGTGGCAGAAATTACTGATGATAAAGATTCAACAGTAAAAACAGAACAGCTTGTAGACAGCCCCAAATTAGAATCTTCTGAGGGTAAAATTATGCAAACGGTGGACAGAATATCCATAGAGAGCTCAGAGGTTCAGTTGCTTGGGCATGTTGAAACTGAAGATGTAGAAATAATTGCAGCATGTGATACTTCAGAGAATGAAAATTCCAGTAGTATTCAAGACTCTGAAAATAATTTATTAAAAAATAATCTTAACACCAAATTAGACAAGTTAGAAAAGACTGAATCTCCTACTGAACATTCCGGATCTGCAGAATTGCCTAACACACACATTGAACAAATTCAGAAGCCTTTTAGTGAGGACAATAATGAAATGATACCTATGGAATGTGATTCACTTTGCAGTGACCAGAATGAATCTGAAGTTGAACCTTCTGTAAATGCTGATACTAAACAATTGAATGCAGATTCTGTGGAGCACAGTTCTCAAAATAATATGCCATCTTCTGATCCTGCAAATGGAAATGCTGAAACTGTATCTCAACCATCTGAAAGCCCTGTAGATGTGGTAGAGAAAGCCAAAAAGCCTCGTACCCGAAGATCTAGATTTCACTCCCCATCTACAACTTGGTCTCCCAACAAAGATACTGCACGAGAAAAGAAGCGGTCTCAGTCTCCATCTCCCAAAAGAGAAACTGGAAAAGAAAGCAGGAAGTCTCTATCACTGTCTCCCAAGAAAGAATCTGCAAGAGGACGTAGAAAATCTCGTTCTCAGTCCCCAAAACAGGATATCGCAAGAGAAAGGAGACAATCTCAGTCTCGATCTCCAAAAAGAGATAGTACAAGGGAAGGCAAAAGATCTGTATCACTCTCCCCCAAAAGAGACACTTCTAGAGAAAACAGAAGATCTCAGTCAAGAGTGAAAGATTCTTCCCCGAGGGAAAAATCCAGGTCCCGGAGCAGAGAAAGAGAAAGTGATAGAGATGGGCCAAGGAGAGATCGTGATCGAGAAAGGAGAACCAGAAGATGGTCTAGATCCAGATCTCGTTCTAGGTCACCATCAAGATCTAGAACAAAAATTAAGAGTTCATCATTTGGTAGAAATGACAGAGACACTTACTCTCCCCGCTGGAAGGAAAGATGGGCAAATGATGGTTGGAGATGTCCACGAGGAAATGATCGGTACAGAAAGAATGACACAGAGAAACAGAATGAAAATACAAGAAAAGAAAAAAATGACAGTCCAGGTGCTGATGATCCAAATTCTGCTGACAAACATAGAAATGACTGTCCCAGTTGGGTAACAGAAAAAATAAATTCTGGACCTGATCCAAGGACCAGGAATCCAGACAAGTTAAAAGATTCTCACTGGGAAGAAAACAGAAATGAAAATTCAGGGAATTCTTGGAATAAAAACTTTGGTTCAGGTTGGATGTCTACCCGTGGTAGAGGTAACCGTGGCAGAGGCACTTACAGAGGTGGTTTTGCCTATACAGATCAAAATGAAAATAGGTGGCAAAACCGAAAACCCCTCTCAGGGAATTCAAATAGTTCAGGGAATGAGTCTTTCAAGTTTGTGGAACAGCAACCTTATAAGCGGAAAAATGAGCAACAGGAGTTTTCATTTGATACACCGGCAGATAGATCTGGGTGGACATCTGCATCTAGTTGGGCTGTGAGAAAGACTCTACCAGCAGATGTACAAAACTACTATTCACGACGAGGGAGGAATTCTTCAGGCCCGCAGTCTGGGTGGATGAGACAAGAAGAGGAAACAACTGAACAAGGTAACATGTTCTGCTTATTTAGTAATTCTCTTTTATTTAAAGAAGGAGATTATAAATTTAACATTTATATGAATTGCAATGATCCGTGTTTATAGTTTTATAATGTTAAATTGAATCCCCATTTAACAAGTCACTTTGCATTATATAAATATATATACACATCAGCATTTACTGCCTTTTTCACCCGTGCGCCGTACCCACCCCCCGACCTTGCCAAAGACTTACGTACTATAAGTACAGTTTGTTAAAATAGAAGAATTTGAGATGTTCTTGTGCAGGATTTAACTTCTACTTCATTTATCTCAGACGTGAGCCTTTGGATTTTTTTGATGATTATTCATATAAATAAGTTACTCTTCTAATTACGATTTGCTTTTCCTTGGCTTTTCTTGTGAAGAACATTCTAAGAAAAAAGCTGTTGAAGATTAAAAAAAAGTGATTAACCTTCTAATTTAGTATTCTAATTAAATTTTATAGGATTATTTCTTTAGCAGATTTCTTGAGGTACTGATTCTTTGCTAATGTTGACAGATGTTATGTGAACTTATTCTTAAAAATAATTCTAAATTTTTTTTAGTTAGAAAATCAGCCCACATAATTTAGAAATGACAGGATTAGACTAAATGATCTGAGATTCGTTTAGGTGTTCTGAGTCTGTTCATTGCTATTTAACCTCACTATAACCAGTGGTTCTTTGCTTCTCTGGCTAAAGAAGTTTGCGACATGATTTTATTTCACGAGTCTTTTTTTCTTTTGATAGATTCTAACCTAAAAGACCAAACAAACCAACATGGAGATGGTTCTCAGCTCCCTATAAATATGATGCAACCACAAATGAATGTAATGCAGCAGCAGATGAACGCACAACAGCCTGTGAACATCTTCCCGTATCCAGTGGGTGTTCATGCTCCTTTGATGAACATCCAGCGCAATCCATTTAGCATTCATCCTCCGCTGCCCTTGCATCTGCACACAGGCGTGCCTCTCGTGCAGGTGGCTGCTCCTACCAGTGTATCTCAGGGACTCCCACCGCCGCCACCCCCTCCCCCACCATCCCAACAAGTCAGCTACATTGCTTCACAGCCAGATGGAAAGCAATTGCAGGTATGTTTTTAGCATCTAAAGTTTAATCAACATAACCATTATAAGCATTTAGCTGTTAGGGACAGATGTGCAAGAAAGGGCTTTCTGGCATCCAAAACATTTATTTGATTAGGTTTATGGTAAACCTTCATAGCCTCCTTCACTGTCCTTCCTCAAACCTCCCACCCCTCAAATAAGAAAATGAATTTGAATGCATATCGTCAGATTTAAGCTACATATATACTGTGGTTGATGTCCAAACAGATTTGCTTTTTCAAGTTAAGACCAAATTACGAGCCAAATTAGAATCAGCTGGTGGGTGCTTTAAAATAATTTTCCAATTTATTGGACTTTTAAGGGGGTGGGAACTTGTGATGAAACTTAATATTGTCTTGTTGGGAGAAATGCCAGATAAAGCTGTTCATTATCTATTACCATCTGTGTTTCGTTTTCACTGAGTTTACCATGCTAAAAAGAAAGAAGTGACTCGGAGGCATATAGAAAATTTGAACAATAGTTTGTAAACATAGTGTTCCTTATAGTTCTGTGCCTGCATTTCACAAATTCTAGAATCCTAACAGCAGTGTATAGTTGGAAGATAAGGGGAATAGGATTCCAGAATTTGGGACCTCTTGTCTTTTTTTTTTTTTCTTTTCCCGTTTTTTCCTGTCAGCTCTCTGCAAACCATTTGACTTCACTGTCTCCTTTTCCTCCATCTTTAAAGTGGAGGCAGTACTTTAGTTAATTTTCATAAAGAGCCTCTCAGGAGAGATACTATTCTTTAAATGCTGTTCGTTTCCTTCTTGTTTTAGTGTTGTCAGAACATGACAATTCGCAGGTGTAATTTAAAAGTCACTTAACGTATTTACATAGGTCTCTATTTAAGAATGTTACTCATTTTTCTTCAGAGTCCTTTGGATATACATGACCTGAAATAAGAATTTTCCCTAAGTACTGAGGTTGACTCACTTTGAATTTTTTTGTTATTTCTAATAAATGACTAAAAGACTTCTATTGAAAACAAGTAATTCATTAACTGATGATAACTCTTTAAAACAGGGTATTCCTAGTGCTTCTCATGTAAGTAACAACATGAGTACACCAGTCTTGCCTGCTCCAACAGCAGCCCCAGGAAATTTGGGAGCAGTTCAGGGACCAAGTTCTGGTAATACTTCGTCATCAAGTCACAGCAAATCCTCTAATGCTGCTGTAAAATTGACAGAAAGCAAAGTAAGTGTTACAGTGGAAGCCAGCGCAGATAGCTCGAAGACAGACAAGGCAAGTTCAAGGTTGAGAGCAACCTACATGTTCTGTATATGATAAAGATGAAAAAATAACAGTTTTGTTTTGTATAATTGGTAAAGGGAATTTCTGTTGATAGTCTTAAATTCCAGTGTTATTTGAAGGGTTTTGTCTAGATAATGTTGGTGTCCATTGAGTTACTGGTAGTTTTTCATGATTAGTTTTAGAAATGTTTGGTATATGTGTTAATAAATAACTTTTATATTTATGACACCAATATTTGAAGAATTCTTGCAACAATGTAGAAGTGTAGTGTTTTCAGTATTACATTTTTAAAGAAATTTTTTGAAAGTACGTGATTGGGCAAAGAATAATTATACTTTTTCCTCTTACCAGAAATTACAGATCCAAGAAAAAGCAGCACAGGAGGTAAAATTGGCCATTAAGCCATTTTACCAAAATAAAGATATCACCAAGGAAGAATATAAAGAGATTGTACGGAAAGCAGTAGATAAAGTAAGTTCCAGCTTTAGCAGAGTTATGTATGTATTGTTTGAATCACCTCTATTTTAATAAAGGAATGCTTAAGACTAATTAAAATAATAAGCACTAACTTCTAATTCTTGTCTACTTTTTTACCTTTTGAATAAGTTCACATGAGATATGAAACATAAAAAAATTCTGATTATCTTTTGGGGGGTTTTCAAAACGTTTTCCATTTTGCTGTAATCCTTTTAAGTATGAGAAAAATATTCCCCCTCCTTTTTTCATAGGTTTGTCATAGTAAGAGTGGAGAAGTAAATTCTACTAAAGTGGCAAATCTGGTTAAAGCCTATGTAGACAAATACAAATATTCACGGAAGGGAAGCCAAAAGAAAACTCTGGAAGAACCTGTGTCTACCGAAAAAAACATAGGTTGAAATGGGGAGCACTATAAAGGACACTATCAAGATATCTGCAAAGTGCAATTTCAACATGTACCTTTAACTGAAAATCATAACTGTGATTGAAATTTGGTTTTGATAAAATTATTTTTTTTAATGTAGAATATAAAGTTTTGTTCTAAATAAATATAGTTCTGCACTGCAACTTCTTTATCCTTCCTCCTCCCGAAAATAAAAGCAAATTCAAGGGAAAGTAAAGGGGTTAAAGGAGTGTGCATTTTTACTAAGACTGTGTTATAGTGTGGATACTGGAAGATGTACAGCTTTTTGATTTGAACAGTGGAGTGCATAAATTAGAGTCTTCTAAGTGCACTGGTTTTGGAAAAGATATATATAATACATTTATTCTGTCAGGCTAAAAATAAAGTATGATCTCTATGATTTTTCCCTCTAATTATAGAAAGTTAAATAATGTATTACCATGAAAAATATTTCTAATAACAGAATATACCAATTGCAGGGTTCCTAATGTGTATTTTTAAAGCACACACCTGAATAAATTGCCTAGATAGAAAACAAATTATCACATGAGTAAAATTCAGTGTTCAAAACTTTGGAACACTGTTATTGTATCACCAAATAAAGGTTATGCTGCTTGTTTTTCTTTTGTGCCTTTTTTTCCCCCAACTGAGATGAAGCAGTTTGATTTGCTAGATTTACAACTTTGGAAGTCTAAAACTGTTGAATTTAGAAGACTAGTTTGGAAAAAGTGTTGACTTTGTAAAAATTATGTTCTTTCATGATATCTTCTACCTGTCAGAGAAATGATAACTTATTTGTGCCAACTGGGGAGTTGCTGTGGAGTAGTGACCCTCCCTTCCTTGGGAGGAAGGTAGAATTATGAAACTCAAGTCAGTGGCTTTCAGTTGCTCATCTGTCTAATCACTAATGAAATTCTTTTCACACTTGAGAAGTCTCCAAATACTTTACAGTGAATAAAGTGTTAATTAGGTGACCATATGGTAGCTATTAACCATGTTGCAAAATTGTAGACATTAAAACCTGTGTTTTGGAAAGAGAGAGGAATTAAATAATGGGGTCTTGGTTAGGTTTTCAGGGACTAGGGATTTGACTATCTTTTTTAAAATATTAGAATATATTAAGTTTTACAAAAGGTAAGTTCAAAGCATTAGAGAGCCACTATTTTAATTAGAGAGCCACTATTTTAATTGGCATCTTAGAAGAAAACATGAGTTATATCCATGATAAACTATCTTTCATTCCAGTAACAGTTTTCAGTAGATACCAAATAATGGGAAAGCTATTCGAATAAGATGTTAATGGCTCAGATAGATGTATGCCTCAGTGAGACAGATTGACCCTTTACTAATTAACCTAGAGAGCAATACTCCGTAGGACTGTGCTTTTCTGAAGTAAAGATGATCTGTTTCTTAAGTTTATGTGCATAATACTTTATTGGTGCTAGCTTTGATAAGGCAAATATTTTGAATTGTTGGCCCCAATAATGATTGTGCTAGTTCATAATCTTAATTAAATTATGAGTGTAATCCCAAAAAGTGTTAGAAATATTTCCAAGCAGTTCTTGATCTTTATTCTGCATTTCTGGGCATTTGTAATATGATATTCTACTGATTTATATATATATTTTTAATTAAAGTTTGTGTTTAGATACGAAGGGGAAAGAAGTTTGGAAGTATATTTCTTCTAATAAAATATTAAGACTGTTTTAAATATCAGCACACACCTCCTCATTTGTTTTGAACTCTAGAAACAATGGTGTGAACTTTCAATGTATTTTCAGTTAAGGCAGGTTCACACTTTGAAAATTTTGTAGCAGATTGCCTAAGATGATTAATCACACAGGGCATACTTCTACATTTTCTTTCAGTGATGTTTGGGAGTAGGGTTGCATTTTCCAATTTGTTTCTGCCATTTAGTTTTACAAACATGTTTAAAAGTTTTGAAGAAAAAACTAGGTGGTATGGTCCAGAGTTAAAGTTTCACATCTTTGGTAGCAGTGTCGTGAATTATTTCCACCTTATCTGAAAATAACAAGGGTGTATTCCATATCTGCTTTGGGGTACTTGGTTACACTGCATTCAAAATGCTAATGAAGAATGTTAGTGGATTAGAATTCAGACTTTTAAAACTTAGAAATACTTAAGAATGTATTAGAAAGTGCATGCTTTATGTCCAAAAAACAGTGCTTTAACATTCCCCATTCTTGCTTTTTTCAGAAATTTTCATTAATTTTGCATGTGCACAAACTTAAAAACATTTTGTGGGGTTGCAGATTTCTCATTACTTACTAAGATTCAGTATTAACTTAACCTTTGAATCCTTGGTCCCATTAACTTAATAGTCACATTGACCAATGATTTAGGCTGTAGTGATGCCTAGAATTTTGAGACTAAAAGTAGTTACTTATTACTTTAACATTCCAAAAGTTTTGTGGGTTTTTTTTTTCTGGTAATTACCACATTTTCTCCATTATCTTCCTTTAAATGGCCACAGTGTGTACTGTTTGAATGTTCCATCCAAAAGATGTAGCATCAGAATCACAGTGGTTGCCCCCCGGTCCACGAGGTGTTGTTTGTAGTACGAGGATGGAGTGCTGTCTACTGAAACAATGCTCTTAAACAGATATGTAGTATGTAATATTTTCTAATAAATTCTTTTGATAAACAAAGAAGTGTCTTTAACATTTTATTATTAAGATTCTTGGGAAATGGTGACTTTTACCTCATTATAACTCCTTCCAAACCCATATTGAAGTATTTCTTGGATTTGTACCAAGGTAACTAGCACCATAGTTAAATTAATTCCAAGTTGTAAAGCAAGCTTGGAGTCAGCTATAAGCATATATTTTAATAGCATTTTTTTCCTAATTACAAAATCATTGTAGGAAATTAGGAAAACTTTATTTTGGAAAAATTTGTAGACGAGGGAAGAAACTAAAAAACAAAAGGAGAAAAACCACCTGTAATCCTACCATTTAAAGGTAACAGTGCTGCTGAAATTGCCCATAACTATGTTGTAACTTGTCCTTTTCACTTAATGATATATTTAGAAGTTTTCATTTTTTTTTTCAATTTTTAATTTTTCTATAAACATACAATGTATTATTAGCCCCAGGGGTACAGGTCTGTGAATCGCCAGGTTTACAACACTTCACAGCACTCAACATAGCTCATACCTTCCCCAATGTCCATAACCCAACTACCCTCAGAAGTTTTCATTTTAATAAAAATTCTATAGCATCATTTTTAATGGCTATATAGCGTTCTGGTACATATTGTACCATTACTTAGACCAGCCCTCTGCTGTTGGGTATGAAGTTGTTTTTACTAATATAAACAAATTAGTAAAATAAAAATTGTGCTAACATGCATAAGACTGATTTGAACATCTTTGTATATGAATTGATGTATCCTTTTTCGGATTACTCTCTGGGGAGTAATTACTAGAAGTAGATTATCTGGCCAGTTTTTATTTCCCCATAGAAGAATTTTAAATGTGATTATATATACAATCAATATATAATTTAAAAAATTCAATTATATTTAATGTAAAATTCATTATTTTCCTAAGCTGATTTCTCTGTCCAGAGAGAACTCTCAAAAAGGTCTGTATATCTTTCCTAAATCTTCAGTGCATTTACAAAAACGCTTACTAAGTTTCTGGGAAAACAGGTTTCACAGATTGTTCCCTACCACATGAAGTATATTCTGTAAACTGTTCTACATCTCCAGTCTACTGAATAAATTGAAGGTATACCTTAATGTCCATTTCTGTTTTATAATGGTTATATCATGTTCCCGTGGTGATGGACACTGAAATTACGTGTAGGTTTTGGCTGTTAGAAACAATTTTATGGAGCACCCTTTGTGACTTAGCTCTGTGAACCTCTTTTTTGTGTATGCGATATCACTGAATTTCTGATATGCACGTTTTAAATTTTGGATAGTGTTGCCAAATTGCTCTCAGAAAGGGGTATACTACACCACAGTGCTGAATTTTAGTGTAGTTCCACCTTTGATACTGTGACTGAAAATGTAAAATTAAGATTGCTCTTGGTTATAAGGTCTTAATGAACACTGATTTCATCAAACGGTGCACACCTACTGTGTGTCAGGGATTCTTGGGTTCTTCACATATTATCAGAATTATACCACAATCTTCTAAAAGAACAGTATAGTAATAGCACGTTTATTAAGTCTGTAATTAATAAATTTATAAGTAAATTAAGCCAGGTACTCTATCAGACATTATATGTGTTACCTCTTTTGCTTTAAAAAAACCAATTCTAGGGACGCCTGGGTGGCTCAGTGAGTTAAGCCTCTGCCTTTGGCTCAGGTCATGATCTCGGGGTCCTAGGATCGTGCCCTGCATTGGGCTCTCTTTTCAGAGGGGAGCCTGCTTCCCCTTCTCCCTCTGCCTGCCTCTCTGCCTACTTGTGATCTCTCTCTGTCAAATAAATAAGATCTTAAAAAAAAATAAAACCAATTCTAATAGTTATCTTTGTTCTGATGAGAAAATTGAGGTACATATTAACTGAGTTACCCGGTTATCCAGCTACTTAGTGATTAGAGACAGGATTTAGATAAAGGATTGGTAGACACTGAAGTCAGTGCTTGACTTGGGGAGTGGGGTGTTACACTGAGCTCCCAGAGGTAAACTAACAGAACACATGGGTGTTAATGGCTGAACTAAAAAGTGAAGTATACTGGGAGCACAGAAGAGGACACAGCTGACAAGGGAAGAAGTGAGGCAGGGAAATTCATACTGTGTCTGTGTTGTTTCATTGCCTTTTTAATATTCCGTATTTTCTGTTCTGGAGATACTAGCTTTTAATATTGAAGCCATCTTCCGTGCATTTTCCATTCTCATCCCATCTCTGTTCTCTCAGACAGTTGCTCTTTCCTCTGTATCAAACTGGAATTCCTTTGCAGTAAAACTCAACTCCCTTAGTTCCCAGCAGTGTTACCATCTGACCTCTTTTAATAGTCTCAACTATGATTTAGATTCTATACACATAGGTTTGTCTTTGACACTAAAGACTAACCTTCCAGTAGCACAGCTTGGCCATGTTCTGCATCGTTTCAGCATACAGTGCCAGCCTCGTGTGTACACACTAGGGAAGAGTGAGCAAAACAATATTCCCACTCTCGTAGAACTACATAATATTGTGGGCAAAGCAGCTGTATGTTTAAAGAGCTGATTCAGGAGTGACAGAGGACTCCGCGTCGCCCGAGAATCTGTGATAGGGCAACAGCACCGAACAGTGATCAGTGAGAGCACCTGGAGGAAACGGCCCCCAAGAGCTAGAAGATGAGTAAGAACTAAGCAAGGAGCAAAGATGAGCTGGCAGAGGAAAAGGTGCAAAAGGTCTGGAGCCCGAAAGCACGGCCGCCGCACCCCTAAACTGGCTGCAGGGAAGACTGGTGGAGGGTTCTTAAGGCAATTGGTTTTGCAAAGAAAAGCTTTTGAAATCTTTCAGCAGGAGGTATTTGATACGAGCAGATTCGCATTTCGAAAGATTGCTCATAATCTTTTAGTGGCTTAATAAAAGTGGTTAGGAAATACGAAAAGGTGTTCACAGCTAAACAATGTTATGCGTTTTCCTTTATCAAACTGAT